AAAATGGAACTTAACAGTGATAAAGCACAGGAAGAACCGAAGAGAGGCAAAAAAAATGCAAGGTATGTCCCCAACAATCTTGCCTGTGGTAAATGACAGCAATAATGTCAATGGAATTTCTACACCAATCGCTAAAAATGATCTGTTAACAAATAAATGCAAAGTGATCTCAAAGAAACCCAACACTACTCTGTGAAGTCAACCCTAATCTGGGCAAAGTGCTTAATCATGCCCATGTTGTTGATTATATGTTACTTTAGAAAACAGAAGAATCCTGGCATCTGTAATGATATTTGAGTTGATAGTTGACAGCAAGGCACCAAATTATGTGAAATGAATTTTTAGGCTAAAAGTCAGTATGCTAAGATATACTCGAAACTACACAGTCAGGAAGATCTGTTTATAAAATATGGTGTAGATTTTTTACTCTATCTTAAGGGGTGCAGTGAGGAAGTTGCAAAACAGCCGCAATACAAGAATTTTCACCTGTAGCATGTTTCCAGAGATTTTTCTGAGTGTTATCTAAGGCTTCCTTGTGTGAGAGAAATGAGGGAACACAGTCTCTGAAAAGGCTTTGGCTTGCCTTAAAACGTGACTCCCATATTTTGTAAACTGAGTGATTCTAGTTTTCTTCAAAACAAAATCACTATTATAGTGAGGTTCACAATGAACCCTCTCTGATAAAAGTAGTCTCTTTTATGCCACAAAATCTTGTCCTGTCTTGACTAAAGGAAAGATTACAACTCCCTCCAGATATATGTTTGACTCACCAGTGGTAGCTCTTGATTTTCTTTCCTCAGATATGTAATCACACAACCAAATCCTATTCTGTTATGGTAAAGGATAACACCCAGAAATCTGACTTAATTTTACCATGCTCCCATACAAACTGGCTAAGGGACTCTAAAATTACTTGTTACCCAGGGACTGTTTCTTCTGCCTCCTATTTCCCCCACGGTAACTGGGAATTCCAATTTTGGATTTATCAAAAAAAGATCTGTGAGTTTTAAAGGTGTGCAAGGAATCCAGGAACATTACTAATGATTTTAAATATTTTGGATCTTTGTAACTGTTGCTAAATCTCATGCTCACTAATCAAGCTTGCTGTGAAATATAATAGCACACATTCTTCAGCAAAATAGAAGCTAAAGATTATCAGTGTCCCAAATGCTAAACTAACAACAGCACCACCTAAATAATCCCTCTTTTCCCCCTTATTATATAAATACTGAGCAATTAAGAAGTTTCTGACAGCTTATGAAAACAGTCTTTTTTGGAATTAAAAACCCTAACTTCAGAATTTGAAGTCAATTTCTGAAATAAACAAAGAAAGAGGAATGAATTATTTCAGTCTATTATCAGAGAACACAAGTGTGCTATTAATTTTGCTTCAGTTTACTGTGTGATAAATTTAACAAATGTTTTAAAATTCTGCTTAAAACAGGTAAACATGAGAAGTGCCAAGGGAGGAAAAAAAACAACTGAGTGAAAATAATCACAACAAAGATGCAAATCTTGAAGAAAACCTCAAACCACAATTTAGAACAAATCACATAAACATTAAATCACAAGCCAAATGTTTTTTTCCCCAACCCCCAAACCATTTCTAATTAAAAGCAAACTGTGTATTTACAAATCATTAAACTAGAACAAACCAGCAACATCAAAATACTTCCACTGCTCTACCAATATTTATATTACTCTAATAAAGACACAAGAATCTTTTCAGCCACTTTAAAAAACAAAACAGTCTACATCTTTGAACTGAGGATTGAGGATTTAGCGTAAAATGTTGTAAAACGACTTTCATTAAAATTAAATTTAGTTATTCAGAATTTTGGGAGAAAATCAGGAAAGTAAATCAAGTTAATATCTTTTGGTTTTTCTTGTTTTGAGCAGAGGTCACATCTGTTAAATCTTTTTGTTTAGTACTACAATGCCTTATTTAGAAAAATAATTTGTAAATTCTTGTTAAATGAATTGAAATACACAAATTCATTTCTTTTTTTCTTTCAGAAACAAAGAACTGTATGTGTTACCAAGGAGAATGTGTCCCAATAACATACTTTTTAGTTGAAAACTTAATTACCAGAAGTAACAAAAGGATGTGTATTAGGGCATCAGAGAAGGGATTAGTATGAAAATGAAATTTTGAGACATCAGTTTGCTACTCAAATTGACACTGATTTGGCAAACAGAAGCATTTAAATTTCATTTCCAAGCCCACTTAGTAAATCTAGTTCTAGTTAGAGCATCTTTAATGTACAAAAGCTCTGTGAAAGAAAGTATTCACCATGCAAGACACAGATAGGGTTCCCTTAACCTACTGCCCTCTGCACACATCACTCTGTTAAACAGGCAGCTAACGCCAGATGCTCTTGCTAAAAATGGTCACAGATGGTCAGTTGTCCAGTTAACAGAACATACTGCCCTCCCAATAGCCAAAAGTAAGAAGGAAAGGAGTGAGAGCTCTTAACACTTGCCTGCTTAGTGGGTTATACCCGTTCAACCTGCTATAAGTGTGGCTAGGCCCCAACAGTGTCTAAGAAAGAAAGACTATAGATCCGAGGGTTCTCAAGAGTAAAAGGCATCTTAAAGGAGAGCTAGTCAAAAGCTGTGCAATGCTTGGATCAACTGCATCTCTGCTGGTCAGCCCGTTCCAGCCCTGGCTTGGCACCTCCAGGGGTGTGGAACCCACTGTCCAACAAGAAAGTCCTACAGCTGAGACAGAGTCCCCTGTTAGCCTGCACTGCAATTAGCCCAACTACCCAGTCTAAATCCACAGTCAGGAAACATAGAGTTATTTTAACAGAGAGGCATACTGACTATAACAAAATAATTTTCCAGGTTATGCATTATACAGTGATTTTAAGCTGAATTACCCCAAGTAGTATACACAAAGGATTTTACAACATAAAAACACAGGCCATAATATATGTGATTTATTTTTAAAACACAGAAGGAAATAAAAATTCATAGTATTAAAAGCTATTAGAGATTATAAAAAATTTCAACAAAGATCGATGGGTCTTCTTTATATTTATATGCACCCATAGAAAATGTTTAAATTTTAAAGCATTGTTTTGTTTTTGTTTCAAGATTTCACTTATTTAGGGGCGCCTGGGTGGCTCACATGGTTAAGTGTCTGCCTTCAGCTCAGGATCCCAGGGTTCTGGAATCGAGTCCCGCATCAGGCTCCCTGATCCTTGGGAGCCTGCTTCTCTCTCTTTCTCTCTCTCATGAATAAATAAATAAAATCTTTAAAAAAAAAGATTTCACTTATTTATTTCACAGAGAGTGCAAGAGAGCACAAGCAGGGGGAACAGCAGAGGGAGAGAGAGAAGCAGGCTCAGGGAGCCTGATGCGGGGCTCAATCCCAGGACCCTCGGATCATGACCAGAGCAAAAGGAAGATGCCCAACCGACTGAGCCACCCAGGCACCTCTAAAGCATTGTTTTTAATTGACAAAATTTTAATAAGATGTTTCTCTAAACTTTTCACAAGCAGAGCATTACTCTGTTCTTCCCAATAAATTATTCATTTGTTTAAAATAAGCTACCTATGTGTTCAAGAAAAGTACTCTATGAACTTATTTTTTGTATTTTCTACTTATTTATATTTCCTGAACAGTGAAGAAACTGGAAATACTGAGTTTGATGTATGATTTTTCATCAGCTATTGTCCCAAATCCCGTTTCTTACTTGATAACGTAGTACAACTCTTTTGAGTAAATGATACGAACATAGAAAGGGAGAGCATTCTGAGAAGCCATAGCTAGAAATAAATGCTCCTAGCTTTGGTGACAGGTTTTGCTAACATCACCTCTGCATCAATGGTTTTAAGGAAGGTCACCCTGGAACATATGTAACTTCTCCTCATCATTTATAAAACTGTGTGACAGGGATCAATAGTGAAATTTATTTAAGCAAATGTAGATTAAATTAAAATCCAAGACAATAAGATTAGAAGCAAAATGCCATCTGGAAAACTACAGCAAAGAACCAGAGGATGGGGTCTTCCTTTGTGCCTGCCTCTAAAAACAGACTCCCACCATAGCTTGTCAAGGCGCAGGGTCTCAGGACTACTGCTGTTTTCACAGGTTGTGCCATGAGGCCAGAAAAGCAAATGGAGCTATCCCAGTGGGGTCACTGTGCCCCTTTCCCTTCTGCACTCCAAAGGGTAGTCTGTGATGGGGAGAGCCAGAGAGCACTGTAAAATTCCAGCATGTGCCGAAGGTGCTCTAACAATTCAGTAGGAATCTAGCTGGGAATCATAAAGTTGCTGCTTTAACAAACAACTAAGAAATAACTGAGTATGCATTTTACAACTTGAGTATCTATCTCTTTATACCCATGTACCTATTGTAGACATAAGTTTCCTTACTTTCCATTAAACATGGTCACATTATGAAATTCTCCACTCAGCAAAGACAGGATGAACAGAGAATAAAATGTCTTTTGGAACTGTGATAAACCCAAACACAAGGCTGAGTGCTTTTTCTCTGGTGTTTCTGTGTTACAGCTACAAAAATAAATATGTATAGTGACATGGGTCATATGTAAGAGCATTATTTTGTACATAACCTAAATATATTTTACATGTGAAAATAATGCACCTACAAAGCACTCTCCGGCAATTTCTAAATTAACCACTGTCTATTTTCTGCTCATTTTGTGATATTGCTATTTCACATACACCATACACTCACAATAATTGATCAGATCTCACTCTACCAGAAGTTAACTGTAGAAAGAAACGCAGATGCCCAGAGGTGGGGGAAAGATAGAAAGCTACCACGGTTATTGGACGCCTTGTCAGTTCGCTCACAGTGGTGTGTCAAAGACCAGCACAGAGTTAAGCAGGAGGATATGCACAGCAATGTCATAAAGGCAATTCTCTTTCTACCAGTAAGTCAGTTCTTCTGCCCTATATCCAAAAACTCTTTTCCCAACTGGTCAGAGAGGAAGGAAAAAAGGAAAGTGCAGTACGGGCTCACTCACCTAAACCACTGAGAGTGTAGAGAAGGTCACCAGTATCTAAGAAAATGGGTCCATTCTCCTGCTGCCCTTCTTCTTTGTAGTACAGCTTGTAGCCCTGAATGGTTGCTGTGTCCTCAGCATCTTGCTGCCACTTCACAGAAATGGTGGTACAGTTCAGAGGCTCCAAATGTAACTCTGGAGACTTAGGGGCTAGAAAAAGCCACCAGAAATGTATGCATAAAAAAATCCGTAATTCATAAATATACACCCAATTTTAAACCAACAGCTGCAAAACAGTGCAATTCTAAGCAATTATATTTTACCTTAACTTTCAAAATTCCACAGTGATATTAAACTTTGAGACAGAATTAAAAATATAAAATACTGGGCGCCTGGGTGGCTCAGTCATTAAGCGTCTGTCTTCGGCTCAGGTCACGGTCCCAGGGTTCTGGGATCGAGCTCCGTATCGGGCTCCCTGCTTGGCGGGAAGCCTCCTTCTCCCTCTCCCACTCCCCCTGCTTGTGTTCCCTCTCTCTGTCAAATACATAAATAAAATCTAAATATATATATGGCAATAATATTAATTAGGTCTCTATTAATATACAACTTTTGGTAATTCAGTTTGATTTGGATTCACCCATTTACGAAGAATTTGCTAAGCAAACTAACAGTGTAACCAAAAGTTTTACACACTATTGAGCTCTATGTCAAAGGGACTATGCAACAAAAAGTTTAAAATTATTTTCAGTGAAGTCCATGATCTATGGAATATTTTCATTCATAAAACACCATTTAAACATGACTTAGATTTTATAAAAATAAGTTTCAAAAAAGTAAAAATATTCTTCCTCAATCGTGTTTAGAAATTTACCTTTCACACTTGTAGCTTTGGGTGTCCTATGTGAGGTCCATACTGATGACTCTCCTAGCCCCACCCTGGTGGCAGCAGTAATCCGCACCAAGTAGACACTATCTGGTTTCAGGCCCTCCAAAAGGTATTCATGTGTGGTTCCCGGGAGCTCCAGAACTCGGATGGAAGTCTCAGTACTCAGGCGGAACGACAGGCGATAGAGGACCACCTGGCCCCGCCGGTATTTGGCTGGGATCGGCAGCCAGGAGATGAGGATATCGGTGGGACTTCGACTTGTCAAACTAATTTCAGGAGGTCTCAAGGGAACTAGTCATACAAGAAAACAGGTTATTTATGAATATTTAGAATCAAAACTGTCAATTAGCACTGCAGTATTTACTGCATTCCCTTAAGAGAAACACACAACGTGAGAAAGGAGGGATACACGTTCAGCCCTAGCAGAAGTTTTCAGGTGAGTAGATCACAAACCAGAAAAAAAAGAAGGAAAAATAATGAGGAAGGATCGAGCACAGAGAACCAAAGAAAGCGAAGTGTCACTAAAAGTAAAAGCCCAAGTCCTCACTGTAACTTCATACAAAGCCCTATGTACTTACAGGGTCTCATACAAAGCCCTACGTACTTACAGGGTTTCATACAAAGCCCTATGTACTTACAGGGTCGGCTCCTCATGGATTCTGGGCCCCAATCTCCTACTGCTTTCCACCTGTTCCCTCCACTGCAGTCCTCAGCAATGTCCATTTCCTCTGCCGAGCATGCACCTCCCCATCACCTGCTTCACCAGCTCCCCACACCTTCACTTCCTTCAGGTTTTCATTCAAATGTCACCTACTCAGTGAGCCTTTCTTGGGTGACCCTGTCTCAAGTCTCAAACCCTCCCAACATTTCATACTCCCTTTCTTTTTCCCCTTCTCCTAGATACTTATCAATATCCCACATAGCATATAATTACATAATGGACTGTTTATCTTGTTTATTGTTCCTCTGCCCCCTCTCCCACTAGAAAGTAAACTCCACGAAATCAGGGACAATTTTTTGTCTCTTTTGTTCACTACTAAATATCGAATAACACACAGCAGGTACTCAAGGAATATTTGTTGCATGAATGAACTAATAGGTGGAAAAGAGAAAATCAATTTATTAAGCATTTCTGAGTCCTTGATATGTATGAACTTATGAATTCTCACAAAAACCAAAGGAAGCACCACGATCATTTCTACTTTATAGTTGAGGAAACTGAGGTACAAAGAGGTCAAACCACTTGCCCAAGGTCACACAGGTCGTTAGTGAAGGAGCAGATGTAGGCAGACTGAACAAAGCCCACATTCTTATCCCCTCTACTTTACTGTGTCTTATATAACAATAGTTCTTCTATCACAGGGTTATGTAGGGATTAAATGAGATAACGGAGAGAAGGTTTTTAGAACAGGCAGGGGCAAGCCCTCCACAAGTGTTAGTTGTATCTGCTGCACGCTGCTGTGCCCCTAGGACACCCACACATCTCCGTTTGAGAAGTATGGGCTTAGGAAATGGGGAGAAACTGGTGTAGAAATGTGAAAAGTGGGGTCAGAAGTCTGTTATTCAGAAAACAAAATGAAACTTCATTAAGTAAAGAAGTTACAGAGTAAGAAAAGGTTTAAAGGAAAAAAAAACTTTGAGATCATAACTTAACTGGAACTGGAAAGTTTTAACAAGTAGCTTGCTATGGTCAGGCTCCTTTCCTTTAAGGATATAGGGAGGAATACACCTCATACACCAAAAAAACCCCACAAGCCCCAAAACAGCACACGCTCCCAGCCTGTGTTTCACCTTAGATATACATGTCAGAGGTTAAATGTGATGAGAACTCGAGAGGTCATAAATACTGTGATTCACTCTAAAATGGAACACTTTTTTTTAAAAAAGATTTTATTTATTTGAGGGAGAGAGAGAGAGCGCACAGAAGCAGGGGGAGGGGCAGAGGGAGAGGGAGAAGCAGGCTTCCGCTGAGCAGGGAGCCCCATGCAGGACACTGAGCCACCCAGACACCCCTAAAATGGAACAGACTCTTAAATGAAAACTGAATTTGGAATTGAGCATCCAGATCAGTAATTTTTTTTCATTTAGTCAAACTCTGAATTTATAAACATCTAAATAAGTGGCATAATAGAGATGTTAAGTAAGAGATCTGGGATCAAATGAACAAAGAAAATGATATGGAAATAATCTACATAAAAATGTTTTGGGGGGGCACCTGGGTGGCTCAGTCCGTTAAGCCGTTAAGCCTGCCTTCGGCTCAGGTCATGATCCCAGGCTCCTGGGATCGAGCCGCATCGGGCTCCCTGCTCAGCAGGGAGCCTGCTTCTCCCTCTCCCACTCGCCCTGCTTGTGTTCCCTCTCTTGCTGTCTCTCTCTCTCTGTCAAATAAATAAATAAAATCTTAAAAAAAAAGTTTTGAAGGGCGCCTGTGTGGCTCAGGTGGTTAAGCATCTGCCTTCTGCTCAGGTCATGATCCCAGGGTCCTGAGATGGAGCCCCGTCTGACCCTCTGCTTAGCAGGGAGTCTGCTTCTCCCTCTCCCTTTGCCCCTCCCTCTGCTCATGCTCTCTGTCTCTCTCTCTCTCCCTCTCAAATAAATAAAAAAATTCTTCAAAAAAATGTTTTGAAAACTAAGGGTGGGCCATTTTGTGAGGATGAGAAAACATCTGTACAGGAGGAATAGTATAATTAAGCATATGTTAAATCATTCCCTTTTCCCAGTGAAGGGTACAAAAAGGGCCTTCTAGAGAGCCCCTGGAGAGAGAGAGATGACGAACCAGAGGAGGAGAATCAGTCTCAGGACTTTACTAATGGATGGGATCTCCCACCATTACAAGAATATATGGAGGTCTGCCCTCAAAAGGACTACAACTTCCAACCCAGGGTCTGTAACAACTATTACTTTCCTCCTTAAGCAGAATAAACATATTATACCTAAAAATAGACTAACTGCTGATTTTTTTTTAAAGATTTTATTTATTCATTTGAGACACAGAGATATAGAGAGAAAGAGACAGCACAAGCAGGGGGAGCGGCAGAGGCAGAGGGAGAAGCAGGCTCCCTGCTGAGCCAGGAGCCCAATGTGGGACTCGATCCCAGGACCCTGGGATCATGACCTGAGCCGACGGCAGACACTTAACCATCTGAGCCAGCCGGGTGCCCCACTGCTGATTTTTTAAGAATATTTTTTAACTGCCGGTTTACTAAATTTCAAAAACTCCCAGTTTCAGAGGTCCAAGACCTCTGACCTCTGTTCATTATATATTTACTCATTATATTTATATTTATTTATGCTTAGAAAATTTCACATTTTGTTCCACTCAAAAAAACCCTGCAATGTCAAAAAAATATTTTTAAAAAAGTCAATGTATTTACAATTTACACTAGGAAACTAGAAGAAATACAATAATACAAGCATTTTATTATTAAAATTTATGTTACACATTGTAAGTTATAAAAACTCTTTACATCATGTTATTGTCAAAAAGTGAGGGTCAAATTTGAAATGGCAAACTAGCCTGCCAGTTACCATATCTGTTTTGATTATTTTTTTAACCAAAAAGAGGATATTTTCTCTAATTTAAAACACATTTATTCATTGAAATTGATTAAACATATTAATGTTCATACTTAAATGACGCAGACTGTGTTTTCTTACCATCCTCTAAAGTATTCTGTGTCACATGGTCAGACATCTGGCTGGCTCCCATTGGCATATATGCCACAATGTAGAAAGTATAATTGCTAGCAGGTTCTAAGTCATCAATAATATAATGAGTTGTGTCATTTCCGATGACTACTTGATACTCTTCATTATTTAAACCTAGATTAAAGAATCAGCATTTAAAAATCAGGAGTATTCAAAATAAAATGAACAACACCAATTTCCCTTGCTGTGACACACGGATCCTCCCGTCTAATCTGTTATCTTTTGTGACCCCTTAAAAAAAAAAAAGAAATGTCACTTCTAAAAGTAACTACGTCTTGCTACAAATTAGTAGTTTGAATTCTTCCCTAATAAATCAAACTGAAAATAATTAATCTCTTCTAAATTTGTTTTAATATCCAGTCAAAACCCATAGCAGAGACAATGTACAGCAGTAACACAAAAGAGCTTAATGTTACAGAACACCGTAGTTTGAAACAGTTTAAGTTTTACTTGCTTAAACGCATGGCTTCTTTTTCCTTTTAAAAGTAAATGGAGAGACAGTAGGGAACTAAAGGCTCTAGGCTTTATAAAAACAAAACAAACCAAAAGTTGTCCTGCAAAAGATCTCATTTTGGCCCTAGAGATTCTATTAAATTTGACTGACACAAGTTGTTCTTTTTATTTATACTGAAAGCAAAAGAACTGGGAGGCACAGAATGTGCTTCAAAACACTTTGTTCAACAACGAACTTCCCCCCCCCCGCAAAGAGGGAAAAAAAATTTTCTCAGCAATTCTTAATAAAATATGCATAGCAATGTATAGAACAGAATTTGCCTTTGTGTCATTTAATTCCTATGGCGCAGATCTGTAAAGGGGAACAAGCACATTGGCAGCTCCTGGGCTTTGCGAACAATTCACAGTAAATGCACGTCAACTTCATCAAAATGCTCTAAGGACCAAGGCCCTTCTCCCCCACACTGGATTTATAAACAAAACAGAAGGCAAATTCCACTATTAAGTTTTCCCACATTTCTGAATTAACTTGATAGCATTTTAATTAGACAAGATTACAGCCATTTCACAACAGACTGGCTAATGGCTTGTTAATTAGGAACTGCATAGTACGATTTCTGACCTACCAAACAAGGTCCTTGAGTTCGAATTAAAAAGCCTTGTTCTGTCCTTGAATAGACCACTGAGCCGCATGTGGAGGCTCTAATGAAATGACCATAATAGCGAACAAGAGTGGTCTCCACCAAAACCAGCATTCCTTTTACCTTCCTAAATCACTAAGAAGGGAATTAACATACTCCAACATGCTCAGTTAGACTTTCATTCTTCTTGCTAAAACAACCCCTGATTTAAATTCAAAATATTCCTTTTCAAAATACTACTTCAAAGTACAAAAAACAAACAACAACAAACCACCTGTTTATATGGACAATTTTATCATACCATCATTTTTGGGTGCTAGGATTTGTTTTAATGTCTATTGCATAAAATCTAGACTGTGCACAACTAAACTCTGTAAACTTCTGTGCTTTCCATGAGAAATCATTAGAGAAATCTCTAGGATTTCTAAGTAGCTTTTCCATTCCCCCTAATTTTTTTGCCAAAAGAAAATACTAGGGCAAAAAAGATTGCAAAAACAATGGAATTAATAGTTCTGAATAAAAATTTTAAGACAGATTTGATTTCTACTTTTATATAAGAAATGACATATCAACAAAGAGAGTCCTGTTCAATATTCAGAGTTTTAAATGTTTTCAGGAAACATTCAAAACATATAAAATCAACTTATAGGGATCTGATAATGTTTACTCCCCCCCCTTAAAAATAACATGCTATAGTGACCATAATTCACCATACTATTTTATGAACCAATTACAACATTGTTCCTATGTAACTGCATACTTAAATCGGAATATTAAGTCTTAGCTAAAGAATTTATATCTTGGCTGGAATGAAATTCATTACTCCACCACTTTGTAATTTTTAGCGGGCAGAGATGGTACTTATTTCTAAACAAAATCTTAAACTATACTTACATATACAAAGTATACAATAATAAAAACATTTAGCAAAAACTGATATGCAGGTGATAAGATTATTTTATTAAAAGAGATAAACGCCATAGAACTTCAAAAATATTTTCTGGATTATTTAAGACATCATTCATACTGAAATTATTGACAGCAAGTAGCAGTTGAAAATAAATACTCCTCAAATTGCTTACCTTCTGCTTTCATATAGTGCACAGAATAAGCGATGACTTTGTCTGAATTATAAAGTGGCCTCTCCCAAGCTAAAAGGATCGCTGAACTTGACATGGTTTCAGCATGCACATTGTAGGGAGCACTGGGTCTGTCTTCTGACATTACAACGGTCAGTCTGGCTCTAGATAAAATAGATCCTTGGCTGTTTTCAGCCATGCACTGATAAATAGCATCATCTTCAGGAATAATCTGGTTAATTACCAATTTACTGAGGAAAGAAAAAAATATTTTTATGACAAATTCTAAGAATGATGTAAAAATAAAGTTAAACTATTGCTAAGTTCACTCTCATTTTAGGTGACAAAAGTTACAAAGAACAAAAAACTGTGTAATCAACCCTACTGAAAAATCTATGAGTTGCTTAAAATTACTCTTATTTTCTGAGCTTAAGTAATAGTGATACCCAAACCCTGTTTGCTTTAGGTGAAAGACTAATCTCTTTTTTAAAATTTGGCTTTTAGGGGCGCCTGGGTGGCTCAGTCGGTTAAGTGTCTGCTCTCGGATCGGGTCATGATCTCACCTGGGATTGAGCCCCATGTCTAGCTTTCTGCTCAGAGGAGAGTCCTCCTCTCCCTCTCCCTCTGATCCTCCTCCCTGCTTGTGCTCTCACTCTCTCTCTCTCTCTGATTCAAATAAATAAATAAGATCTTTTAAAAAATTTGGCTTTTAGGGGCACCTGGGTGGCTCAGTCGTTAAGCCTCTCTCAGGTCATGGTCCCAGGCTCTTGGGATCGAGCCCCACATTGGGCTCCCTGCTCAGTGGGGAACCTGCTTCTCCCTCTCCCACTCCCCCTGCTTGTGTTCCCTCTCTCGCTGTGTCTCTCTCTGTCAAATAAATAAATAAAACCTTAAAAAAAATTTGGCTTTTATAAGAAAGTATATTACTCTGTAATAGCATCTAACTTATGTAATATTGCAATGTTACATAAATTCAGATCAACAAAAAATTTTAAAGTTTTATTAAACATATGGCAATGTTATAAGAAGATTCATATTTATACTAATAAAAATGAGTTCTAAAAATCATTAAGTTTGAGCTGCGGAAAAATTCCTTGAGATTTGAATATTTCCTTCTAATTTTCTCTTTTTAATGGAAGAAGGAACTGAGAACCCAAAGGGTTAATATGCTTGCTAATAACTTAGCTATTGGCTTATCAGGACTAGAATCCCGGTCTAGGGGACTGTCCAACATTTATTTCATTATAATCTACCACTTCCATGATCCACATATAAAATACAAAAGGATCTACGGCGTGCTGATGTTAGAATCTTAATTTCTTTTTTTTCATATTTTATTTTTTATTGTTATGTTAATCACCATACATTACATCATTAGTTTTCGATGTAGTGTTCCATGATTCATTGTTTGCGCATAACACCCAGTGCTCCATGCAGAACATGCCCTCCTTAATACCCATCACCAGGCTAACCCATCCCCCCACCCCCCTCCCCTCTAGAACCCTCAGTTTGTTTCTCAGAGTCCATCGTCTCTCATGGTTCGTCTCCCCCTCTGATTTCCCCCCTTCAGAATCTTAATTTCTTATTTTAGTTTAAAATACCAAGATAATTTAGATATTTGATATTGCAACCAGTTCACATAGCAATTACAAAAGCCATTATATCTTCTCTAAAATAGTAGCAAAGTGACATAGCCCACCTGTTGTACATTTTAATTCTCCCATTTGAATGTATCTTCCTCCCGTTTTTCAACCATGACATTTTGGGTGAGGGGATTCCTTCTGCTTGACACACAAATCGAGCAGTACCAGCTCGAGGCCTTGTTAAACTTTCTGGCCATTCAACAAATGAAGGAGGAGCTATTTTTAAAGAAAAAAGAACAGAGAAAAATGTCCATGTCTCCAAACAGGAATGATACAAAGAGTCAAGGAAGAGTTTGGCAAATGACTCAGGTCCCATCCTTGAAAATATTTAACATTCTGAGCCTCTTATCTACACTCTACATAGGACTATCCAGATGCCTTTTCTCAGCATTGTTCATTTAGATGTCCGCTCCCTCGAGGTTTTCCCTATTGAGACCTTCTGTGTCAACACACTAAAAATAGGTACACTATAATCCTAATTAACTAAGCCCAATAAATATATAGCCACTTGTGAATGCATACAATCAACAGATTAAAATTTTAGATTGGTAAATGGATATGTGGATTTGTGGGTGGGTAACAAAGACATAAAAGAGATGCTTAAATAAGAAGGAACATAATGGTACGAAACAGGAGGGTGACTTAAGCATTATAGTTAGTTACATTTTAACTCAGGGCTTTAACTTTCTTCTAAAATTCATTGTTGGATTACAGTATTTCATATCAACCTTCATATCAACGCTACAAAATTCAAGAAAGGAAGAAGTAAGCGATGAATGAGAAAATACAACAAATGTTAAAATACAAGATTCTCCTGAATGCAGAATGAAATAAAACATACCTAAGACAGTTAAAGTTGCCATGGCAACTGTAAAGTTGCGTGTGCCTGGGGTTGTGGCCCGACAAACATACACTCCAGCGTGTTGCAGCTTGACATCAGATATCATGAGATTACCATTTCCCAGTACTCGAGTGTTAAAGACATCAATGGACTTGTGATCTATTTCCAAGAGAAGACTTCAGTTAAAATAATGTAACATAAGATCTAAAATTATGTCAAAAGATCACCATCTAATATCATAAAAAGTATAAAATTTGCTATACAAAAACCTTTTGTCTACACACCAAAATGCCAAAAAGTTAAAAGCCACTTAAATGACAAACATGTGTTTTGCATATAAAATAAACATTTTGTCAGTTTCATTAAAATCAACAAAGTTTAAAGACTTTTTTCCCTGAGAAAACTTACCAAGGCGGCTCCAAGAAATGATTGGTTTGGGATTTCCCGTGGCCACGCATTCCAAAACAACTGTCTGATGAAGAGATGTTGTTATGTTCTGTGGGCCTGCTATAATGGTTGGTGTGTAGAAGGAATTAGACTCTTCAGCTTTGAGGAGGAAAAGGCACAGTATGAAAATAAATTACAAATAAGATGTAATAAGTGAGACAAGTTAAAATATCCTTAAGTTATTCACTTTTTAAAAAATAACTTTATTGAGATATAACTCACATCATATGCAATTCACCATTTTAAGTAATTCAATGGTTTTTAGTATTCTCAGAGTTGTGCAACTATTACCACAATCAATTTTAGAACCCCAAAAAGAAACACCACACCCATTAGTAATCTCCTCTCTCCACAGCCTGGCAACCACTAATCTTTCTGTCTCTCTGGATTTGCCTTTTCTAGACATTTCATAACAAAGGAACCATATATTATATGGTCTTTTGGTAACTGGCTTCTTTTCACTTAGCATAATGTTTTCAAGATTCATCTGTGTTGCAACATGCACCAGTATTTCATTTCTTTTTATTGAGTAATAATAACAGAATAGAATTTAATTATATCAATAGGACACATTTATTTATCCATTCTTCAGTTGATGGACATTTAGGTTGTTTCCATATCATTTTAATTGAGGCTCAAACATTCATTTAATCCTTTTGCTAATCTTGTTAAGAATTTATGTGACAATGGGGAGAAGAGAAGAAGTGTGGGAGTGCTTTTGTCTTTAATCTTTCATACCAGGAAGCTAAAAGATACTATGATATTAAAACATAGCGTTAAAAATGTAATTTCAGTTTCTCAATGTTTTCCAAAGAGATTTTTTTAACCTTCAAGGATATTTTAGGAATCTTGTGAAAAATAAACATTCATATGAAGTTCACCAATGTCTTTGGTCCAGATTTTCTTCCACTATATTCAAGTAAATTTAAATTATTTAAAAATAAAAACTAGTATCTATGTGTAATTCCATTTGAATAAGATACATATTTCTTTCTTCATATTCATCTCTTTAGCTAGTTTCCCTTTTTTTTTTAAGATTTTTATTTATTTATTTATTTGAGACAGAGAGAATGAGAGAGAGAAAGAGCACATGAGAGGGGGGAGGGTCAGAGGGAGAAGCAGACTCTCTGCCAAGCAGGGAGCCCGATGCGGGACTCGATCCAGGGACTCCTGGATCATGACCTGAGCCGAAGGCAGTCGCTTAACCAACTGAGCCACCCAGGTGCCCTAGCTAGTTTCCCTTCTAACTATATTTATGTATGGCAAAATATAGAAAATTACGTTCGCTTAATGTTAACAATGATAATTTCTGGATATTGGAATTGGGGATATTTTTAAACTTCTATCTGTACTTTTTTGCATTGTTTAATGTAAAAATTTTTATTTTTATACTTTTATAGACATTACTCTTTATAATAAGTATATATCACTTTTACAAATGCAAATTATAATTTTTCTTAAAACAACAAACAAAAAAATACCAAAAGGAAACAAATATATCTTTATGGACAATGGACAATTTTGGTGGAAATGGATAATGTTTTTCTCATTTCGCATTTTATATTTTAAAAACAAAAGTGAAATATTTACAAAACAAATATTCATTCTTTCTTAAAGATGTTGTTCTTAAAGATTTTAACATAAAATAAGCTGGCCCGTGAGAGAAGAGGAGCCTAATACGGATAAAAATGACCATTTCCAACTAGATTACAATAATTTACATGAAATTAGAGTGCTATTTTATAGCATACTATTACAGCCACAGAAGAAAAATTAATAGCTGGGACAGTACCTGGAATCACCGTTAGAGAGGCTTCCATACTTTTACGTCTGTGGGCTATGGTAGCAGCGACACAACGGTAATTCCCAGCATCCCTTTGGCCAACATCATAGATCTGCAATACTCCTGCTGGTAGGGCAGTTATCCTGTTACGAGAAGAAAGATGATCAAATTCTTTGCAGTAGATTTTATATTTTATTTTAACACGTATTCTATGATTCATATATTCAACCTTTCTAAAGTGCCAGATGCAATACTTTAAAGACCATTTAAAATAATTAGCTTGATTCAATTGTTTTCATTTGGGTCACTACAGGTCTCTAAAACATACATAACTATGCAGTATGTGGTTTGTGAAATCTACCAGCCTAATTTTATACAGAGTTATATTTGACATTATAGCTTATATAACCGGTGATCTAGGGCTTAGTATGATTTTTTTCAAATCCTGATTTCTTGCCTATTAATATAGACATATTCTCCAAGATACACCTGAATCTAAGTTTTTTTTTTTTAAACACTTTCTTGAATAACTTCTTCCATCTCAGTATCCTGAGATTTTAGTAAATGATTTTTACCTACTTGGGAATACTGCTACTCATGAGGACAGGAATTAAACTTTATGAAGGTGCTACTAAGTTCTTGATCCTTAAACCTCAATCACCTGCAGAACACTAGGGGGGGGTCGTGGGGGTGAGGGTGGGGATGGTGGGGGTGGGTGTGTGTGTGTAGCTGAGAGGAGACTGGAAGTGGGAGGCAGAGACAGAATGGGCAGGTACCAGGGCATATGGGAGACCCCTAGAGTAGTACTGCTATCACCAACAGTGAAGGTCTAATTTGGTTTCCTAAATCCTTGGGCTACAAAGCAGGTGCTCAGGTGGTCCTATGGTTGGAAAAGATGTTTAAGGCAAGCAACAAAGCAGTAAGAAAGGGTATTTGAATTATGATCTAAACCAAAAACCAGAAATTATTCCCCATGTGCCAGAGACTGATGATCTAATTCTTTCCCTAAGTCTGAAATGTCTTTAAGAGGTTGGTAATTGCTACTGTAAATGAAAATAAGCTCCATCATGGTCTTTCCCCCATAAGTCTCATGACACCTTCGTTACTCCTGCATTGTCTCCAAAGACAAAAGCTGCATTTACCTGTCCGTAGTTACAGGTAGAGTTGTCCGATTTAATTCCCATGTTATGACTGCAGGAGGGTTTGAGGAAATCTTGCATGCAAATCTAGCAACTCCACCTTCTTGGACCTCAGTAGAAATTGGCTGAACTTCAAATGCAGAAATAGCTATAAGATAAAGTTTGACAAATTTAGAATAAGTACAAATACTATTATACCCTACTGTACTTGGAAATAACATTATGCAAGATATTATTTATCAGACTTGAACTTCTGCCCAGACATAAGAGCGACCCAACTTAACTAGCACAAAGATAATTTCAGCAGTAGTTTTGGAAACCACTGACAGTTGCCTAGCTCAGGGAATCTGGTCTCCCCCAGGATGAAATTCTAAATAAGTTCTCAAGAAACTTACAACTTATTTGGAGAAAAAAAATAACACAACTGAAACAAAAATAAACAATTAATAATGATATGTAATCACATACCATTTTTGTGTGGTACAAACTTCAAATACTACTACATTTCAGAGAAGAGGGAAATCAAGAAAGACAGATTAGACAAGTAAAAACCATTTACAGGGACTGGTTTTGAATTAAGTTTTGAAGACTCGGTTGGGTTTAGATGGAAGGGGGAAAAGAAGACATTCCAGGTGAAAGGAAGCAAGCACAGAAGAAAGAAAGGTGTAGCCTCTCTTCACAGGATTTTAAGGAAACAGCCAAGACTACTGTAGAATATTTCAGATTAAGGGATCATGGAAAAGTGGAAGGAGAGTAGAGATAAAGCAGATTTGTACCAGGGCACAAATGAAGACATTATTGAAAATTTTTGAGCAAAGGACAAGAGTAGTCCTAATAATAGCCATGTTTGGGAGAAATCAATCAGGCATGGATACATAGGAGAGCCTCAAGTCAAAAGACCAATAGGCTTTTTTAAGTAGGAACGACAGAACTGGGTGGTGGCAGTAAGAATGATGAGATTCTACAGATAGCTCAATGGAAACAAAGACTTGGTTCTCACTGGACACAAACATGTCACTCTGTTTGGAATCAAATGAGGTTGGTGTTGATGGAGCTGAATGAGGAAGGAGAGAAAGAAGACTAATGGTGTGTGTGTCCCTGATGAATTAAAGTTAGACTCAAGAGACTATTTTTAGTCTCATGTATTTCCAAAGTGGAGATAAATCTCGAAGTGTTGATATTTCTAGAGATAATTCTTCTTTCTCATTCTAGGCAGGCCTCCAGGAGCTAGTCATCGGTGTCCATGCTTTCACATTTTGACAGAGTCCAGACTCCAGGTAACACTGTGGTTTTCCTTCCCTCTACTGTTTTTTAGGATATAAAGAAAGGGCCCCAATGATGGTCTTACTTCCCCTCTGCAGACTCCAGTTTAATATACATATACATATATATATATGCCTTTACAGTTTATCAACAAAGTGAGGAGTCATGAAGAAAAGCAGAGGGAATAAGGTCTACATAACTTATACTTCATTAGACTAGGAAGGGTAAAAGATGAGAGAAGACTATAAATTCAGCCTTAGACTTAGCATCATCAAACCGTAAATGGATCACAAGACTTTAGAGGTACAGGACAAAGCCAGGGAATAATGGTGAAAATACTCAGGAGCATCCACTTCCAAAAAGCAGATGGGGGTATCTTATGTGTGTATGTAACAAAAAATTTCTGCTTCCTCAAGAACAGTGGTTCTCAAACCACTACTGTCAGTGGATAACAAAATCAAAATCATTTTCATGATCACCATCATCTGCCTTTTTCACTCTTATTTCTCAAGTGTACAGTGGGATGGATGATATTGCAACAGACTTAATGCAGAAGGAGATATGCCTGATTTATGAAGCATTAATTTCTCTTATTGATCCCATATTTACCTTGTTCATGTATGAGGGGGTGAGTTTTAGTTCTGGTTGTCATTCATAATCCAGACTATATTCAATTTACAGACTTCAAAGGGGGAAATTTATCTTATTCTCCAGTCTTTACCACTCTAGACCAAAATATGTAATATAGTTAATTTTTTCTTCATAAAACAGTTGTTCCTTCACCCCATCTGACTTCTTTACCCCAAAACATATCAAGCACCTAATTCAGTATGTTTTATCTCCTATCTCTCTCCCATATCTGACTTCTCTCCACCCCTAATAGTCCTTTCTTCGATCCAGGCCCCTATCATCTCCTGCCTGAAGTCTTGTAGGCACCTATTAGGTGATATCTCTCCTACCAGCAAAGTTACTCCAGAAAGTTAGTCAAAAAATATAAGTTTGAATGTGTGGCTGTTGAATTAATCAGTCCCTGCAAAACTCTCTTGTCTCAGTCATGTGTAGTTATGTTCCATGAGCACTGAACTACTTACAATTCTCTGAATATACCATGATATTTCGTACCCCTAAGCATTATAGGAGCATATCCTTCTCTCTCAAATATCCTAGGTCCCTCTGTCTATCTGGTGAAATCCTGCATTGTTTAGCACCTAGTTTGCTTGTCCTTTCCTTTGGGAAGTTGTCCCTGATCCTTTTCCCTGCAACTTCTGTACACTACAAACCTCCACTGCTACTTTTATCCCACAGTATTCTAAGCACTTCACATTTTTCTCCCCTTCCAAACTATGAGCTCCCTGGGGGCTAGTAATGGGTTGTATAAAGACCCCTTAAGACAGTGAATGGCACAGACTTGGCACTAAAATACTTGTTGAACTGAACTTATATTTTTTTCTCTAATTATATTAGGTCTTTCAACATAGTAACTAGAAATGTAAGGGGTTTCCCAGGTACAAATACTTCTCATCTTGAAAAGAGAATAATGCTTTTTATTATTTTGTTTGCTGTAATTCCAAATGGTCCCTAATATTTTAGTGGCATTATTTTTAGAGACAAAAATTGGATCCCTCACCATTAAAGGATTTTTATGAAGATTAAAAAAAACAAAAAGTGAGGGATTTTCATACGACTTTTTTTATAAATGTTGTGATTATTGAGAATAAAGATAATTACTTTTGCCTTGAGTAATTTCCCTCCAACCATCTGAGTGTTGTTTTCTACCCTAAATCTCATCTAACAGTATGATGTCTCGGAACCTTTTTTTTTTTTTTTTTTTTGAGCAGCTTCCTGCTTTCTGCCCCAGATGCATAAGTCTATGAAACCCCTAAGATTTTTATGAAAACTGAACTTTGCACTTCAGGTCAAATGTGCTAGAGCTTTGGAGTCAAAAAATTCCAAGAAATAAAAGGTAAATGGGTGCATCTTCTGACTAAGGGTATCTCTTTTGTGAAAAGGGGAAAGAAACTGCTTTTGAGATATAATCACATAACATGTAATTTACATACCATACAATTCACTCATTTAAAGAGTACAATTCAATGGTTTTTTAGTATATTCAGAGTCTGCAACCATCCTCATGATCCATTTTAGAATATTTTCATCATTCCAAAAAGAAACTCCATATCCTCTAGTTATCACTCCCTAATCTCCCCATCCCCTCCCCAACTCCAGCCCTAGGCAATCACTAATCTAGTTCCTTTCCTCCCTCTACAGCTTTGTTGGGTGGAGAATGATATAGAACTTTGTGTACAATATGATTATTTGATACATGCATATACTGGGAAATGATTACCACAATAAGGTTACTTAATTAACACATCCATCAAGTAAAGGTATTTTTTTTTTAAGATTTTATTCATTTATTTGACAGAGAGAGACAGCGCGTGCACAAGCAGGGGGAGCGGCAGGCAGAGGGAGAGGGAGATCCAGCAGGCTCCCCACTGAGCAGGGAGCCCGATGTGGGGCTTGAACCCAGGACCTCGGGATCATGACCTGAGCCAAAGGCAGACACTTAACAGACTGAGCCACCCAGGTGCCCCAAGTAAGGGTATTTCTTCACCTCACCCTGGTTCTCAGCAAGGTCTCAAGCAAGTATAAAGATTTTTTTAATCCCCCAAACAACTTTATATTTAACATTTCTCACTTTCTGGTCCCTTTTGAAAATTCAACCGGCTGGTAAAATGATTTTTCCTAAAGAAGACCCCTTGGGACTCTCATCAGTATCTCTGAGACTAAAGAAAAAGAGGCATTCTCATGATTCAACAATAAAAATAAGTTACCACCCTTCTGTCCATAACTACTTCATCTGGGTACCAACCCCATTCTCTTCCCTCACCTCTGGGAACCCGATGTGTCTGCCTTTTGTCTGTCTTTCTGTCTCTCTCTCCTGCATATTCAAATTCTTTTCCTGGATCCTTCCCTCAGCCTATAAAAGTGATTAAGCTTCTCCAAACCTCAAAACACAAAAAGAACAAAACTCCAGACCTCTCTTTAGGGCATGTATCCCTCCAGCAGCTTTCTACCCTCTCTCTTCCCCATGGCATTACAACTTTTCTAAAGAGTAGTTGATTCTAGTTGCCTCCCCTTCTTCCTCTCTGACTTTACACCTCAAACATCTCATGTGCCTTCTTCCCCTATTATTTTATTGAAACAGTGTCAATGACATTGCATACTCTTATTTCTTACATACTTTCTTATCTATTTCTCTGATTCCTCCTTCCAGTCTCCCTTTAAAGGGCACTCCCTCGTCCTATGCCCTTCCTTCCAGAGATTCTCTGTTCTTTTCTCTCTCCAGATTCTCTTTGGGTGATCTCATCCACATTCAGTTTTCAATGACATCCATCTCTTGCTGCTGATTCCCCAAAATACATCTCCAGCTTAGATCACCAATCCTAGAGCTTCATACTCATGGCTCCAATTGTTGCTGGACATCTTCACCTGGAATTCATAAAAGGTACTTCCAACTCATCAAGTCCAAAATGAAATCATCTTATTTCCTCCAAGCCTGTGTCTCTACTTGTTTGTCACATGACTATCCAGATACTCACCTGAGCTAGACACTATTCATTCCTTCTTCTACACTCTCATTCACTTGTTCCCACTGATCTTACTTAACTCCTTAACATATGTCGGATCCACTCCTGTGTTCCTCTCCCAATGTCTCTCACTGGAACCACTATAGAAGTCCCTTATCTGATCTTCTTACTCCCATTTTTCCTCTTCCCTGCTTCAGAAACATCCTCTAAATGTACACAAGTATTTGATATGGGTGCACTGGGCTCACAAGCAGCTTCCATCTATTAATTCAAAGGCTTCCATAGGTCAACCTAT